CTACACCCCACCCACACCCACACCCACACCCCACCCATACCCACACCCACACCCACACTCTCAACGAAAATTCGACTAATATGTTCAGTTCCCCCCTAACCCACCTAGTCTCATTAGCGCCCTAACCCCCATGTCTCCTTAGTTCTCGTAGCTATCCTAGTCTTCTTAGCCACCCCCCCTCAAGTTCTCGTAGTCTACTTAGTCTCCTGTCGTTTCTGTCACTGTTAGCACAAGCACTTCCTCAATACTCTGTACATTGTTACAATGACAGTAAAAGGAGAGACATCATGTGCATAGATGTAAACTATTGTGAGTGAACAGATTATAAGGTCAACGACTGGAAGAAACGGAAGAATGAACTATAGCAGAAAAGAGAGGAGAGAAATGAAAGTGCAGCGTGTTCGGTGTTTTTCATGCTAATCACTAGAACCTATTAGAATAAACGTTAAACAAGCTATTTCCATATTTTGTATGACATTATTTACCTAGTCCCCTAAACCCACCAGTTTTTCAATGGTAACAGACCGATTTTTTCCCCAAGTACAATTTGAAATATAAAACACGGTAGACCCCAAATACTAATCAGACATCTTCAAAATTTATGTAAGAAAAGGGCTATACAGTGCTAGATCGCATTTAATAATGAGCTTATTGGTGTGGGTGTGGGTGTGGGATTATAATACACTACTGATATCCACACCCTCACCCACCCCACACCCACACCCACACATATCACAAGCTCAGACTGAGTTCTTTTAATTTGGAGAAATGACATGAGACATATGTGCCAAAAACCGACCTCAAAAACTCATAAAATATGAGGGTTTCTACTAATGTTAGCCTATATAATCTCAGTAAAGAGATGTTCTTGAAAGTTTCAAGTAGTACGTTTTGTTCAGTTTTTCATGCTCTATCTTTTAGTATGTTGCGTGAAAAAAACCTCCAACTTAAAAAAAAATTTTGTGGTGAAGATATATAACATAATTTTTGAGTAAATTTTAAGTTATAGACTGGTAGTGATAAAAAGTCGATCTAGGCTAACTTTTTCATAGTCCATCCAAATGAGCTAAAAATTTGGTTTTGTTAGTTTCAAAACATGATCTTTCAAATGCACATACTAGATCATAAAAGTATTTTTTGTCTTGTGCCTCGTATATTGAAACGTTGCTCGATATTCTCATGGACTGTCTTTTAAGTATTTTTCCTAGAATATAGTATGTTACAAAGATGGAAAAAATCATAGTAACCCTTTCTGGCCCTATAAATAGTTACGTTTTCCTCTTAAATAAACGAACTATTACCAAGCTTCCAAACTATTATCATCTTCTACAATTTATGATAAGACTACCATTGTTAATTTATATTCTAGATAAAAATGCTTGCTGGTATACTCGTCGACGTGTCCGGTTCTATGAAGAACAGTCTTCAATTGCATGTTCAACCGACTAATCAAGACGTAACTCGTGCTCAGTCAATTTTTACCACTATTATGAATATAGTGGGAGGTGAAGTGAGCTCTCAAAAGGACCATGATGTGTTCGTTTTAGCTTTTGGATTACAAGACATCGCTACATGTGACTTACTTGCTTTGTTAGATTATATTCAAACAATAGATCTGAAAAGTGATGGTAAAGGTCACGAAAATCTCATCCGGTTGTTGGCAAGTAATGGAGCACCATATGCTGATCAATACGTAAGAAAATACGTTTCAGAAAGACAAGCACAGTTTCTGTTCAAGTTTTATTCACAAAATGAAAACCGTGATCTGTTAGCTGATGTTGTACAGAAATTACCGTCAGTTTGCACAGAGAATAGTGTGAAATCCAAGGCAATCAACGGTGGTATTTTCGTATTGAATTTCTTCAATGCTCCGCTTGTGGATTGGATGGAAGACAGGCAGACCAAAGAAAAAATTGAAGACGCAATGAAATATGCTAAAGATGTCATACGTCAAAGATCTTTGCCAAAATTAAAAACGATGGAACAACCACGAAGTAAGACCTTCCAATCTACCATGAATCTGTTAAAGCAGGTAACTGGCACATGGACAAACCCATCCAAAACGCAGTCAACATTTACATCTGCCCAGCTATCAGCGTTAGTTGATTCCATTGAACCCTTCATTTATGGAGAGACTCCAATGTGTAAAGCTATACAGTCTGCGGTCAATACATATTATTCTAGTAGCCATGAACAGAAAGTTCTATTTCTACTGTCGGATGGAGAATCGACAGACGGGAATCCTGTACAATTCGCTTCAAAACTACATGATCAAAACGTGCTTGTTTTCGCTTGCTTATTAACTTCGCAAAGCATCTCATATCCACGACGATTATATTATAAAGCTGATCCTAACTGGAGTCAAGCTCAAAAACAAATGTTTGAACTCAGTTCTACAGTCGAAAACTGTCATTCAGCAATGTCGATCCTTCTGGAACAAGGTTGGGAATTGCCTGCCGATGGTCATAGCCGTATTTTCATTCAAGCAAATCATCCTGATGTGATTAAAGAATTTTCAAACTTAATGAATGATATTTCCGAACATAATGATGTTTTACTGAATTTAGTCGGCCGTGCCTCGTTAGATATGTACATCAATGCTGCCAATTCAAGTTTCAACGTAACAGAACAATCAGGTGGTACTTGTTATGCTCATGCTGTTGCCACTGTATGTCATTTGGCAATGCGTCGAATTGAAGGTCGGGAAAATGGGGTACCTGACTTTGATATTATCCTTCAACAGCTGATCCATGCATATGGTACAGAAGGGGCAAATACTGAAAATGTTCTAAATGTCTGGGCTCCCAGACATCGTTTACATTACAAGAAAGTAGATGAACTCGGTGCACGACAGGCAATTAATCGACGACGACCAGTTGTCGCGACATTTCAATTAGATGATCAACAATGGACTGCTTTTTCGATGTTTTACAAGAATCATCCGCAAGGTGTATTGGAAAGTCAAAACTTAGGCGCCAGATCTGGATCAAAACTATCTGGACATGCTGTTGTGCTGATGAAATGTGATCCGACCAGTTTAACATTCATTAACTCATGGGGCACTGGGTTTGCAGACAAAGGTTTTTTCCGAGTTCGAAATCAAGCGGTATTAAATCTACAGTTTTATGATGTTTATTGGACTTTAAATGATTTGACGGCAAGTGAAATTCAAGCATTTGAAATGAAGAGCAGTGAAAAAGTACGAAATCTGATAGAAAATTTACCACCAGGTATTAAAAATTTACCTTATGAATGTCCTAATTGTCATCAATATTCTGTCGTACATACATACATAATACATTTCTCGGATGCAGAATGCCCTAAATGCCATCAACGTTTCAAACCAACTCCATCCGGACTCAACGTCACTGGCTATACACATTAAAATACGAAGACATTGATTTTTTTTTATTTGTGATCCATGATATCTTGATATTAATAAACTAAATATGAAGACATGAATCAGTAGTCATTGAGGGTCTAATGGTGATATTTCATCATACATTAACGATTGGTTTTTAGTAATGAGATAAAAGAGGAAACACATTACTCCTTTATAAAGGGTGATGGTGAGATAAGCACACCAAGGCCGGTTTTAACCTTGCTGAAGGATCTCATCAGTTGGATTTGCATAAGATAAATGATCCAAAGAAGAACCAATTCAACGATATATACAATATTTTATTTGAAAGAAAGAAAAAAACAGAATGTTATTCATTTGGTGAACATATACCAACGAGGAGTATGTGGCAGAGAATGTCTGCTTTTTTTAAGGTAATAGATTTCAAGCATCTTGAGGATGTGAATGTGGATCTTTTCTCGTAGTCTCAATCACACCTACACACCTCAACCTTATTGAACCTTGTACAATTATTAGAGATTAAAATAAAGATTCAACATAAAAATAATATGAAAACATGTATTTTATTTTATAATCATATCGAAAAAATTTTCTTAATTGCAAAACAAACTAACACTTTTATTTGTATTTATTCTTTTATAAGAATATTATACTTGTTATTGCTTAAAAATAGAACATACACAAATCTTATTAGTTATTTTCAGTGAGCTTTAATATATTCGTTAATCATATTTATATGTATAGACAAAATAATATACATCACAACTATTATTTGTATAAATTCTTTCATTCAATAACTAGGATGAAAAAAACTTTTCCTTCTCTTTGGAAATTACTACATGTTCGGTTAAAGATATACATCAAATATTAAATTCGATTATATTTCGTTCACAAGAATATCTAAAATACGTTGTTTTAAATCACGAAAACGTGGTCGCATTGTAACGCTATTTATTAAACAAGGAAGAATAATATGTGTATATATTTCATCTGAACCACAATGACGTGATTTTGGAAGATATCGACTAAGAATTTCCGATGGATTTTTTGAAACAATTTGTAAAGCACAATGAGTCATATTACCAAATGGTCGTTCACCAAATGAATAAATTTCCCAAAGAGCTATACCCTATTATATATAAAAGATCAAATGATATTTATTTTGAATAAAATTCTTCTTACATAACTCCAAACATCTGAACGAGAGAATCAATTTCAGTTAAACTAAAATATTTCATTTTAATTTGATATATTTATAAGAAAATAGTTTACTGAGGTACACCAACATCAGCAACTTTAAGTGTATCATCTTCGTCAATTAAACAATTTCTTGCTGCTAACTTTTGATGGATAATATGTCGTTCTTCTAAATATAACATTGCTTCATATATTTGTCTTCCAAAATAATTAAGTTTTTTTGATACATAATATAAATTTGATTTTAAAATAATCTAATAATGAACCATTTCTCATAAAATCTGTTATCCAACTTGATTGTTGGCTTTCAAAAAATGTTACACCAATTATACGTAAAAGATTTGCATGTCTTAAGCGTATCATTACACTTGCTTGTTGACGTATTACGTACATATATTCATCATCATCATCATCATATATAGAACTTCTATTAGGATTTTCATCTTGAATATTTAATGTTTTTAATGCAACATCATAAGTGCCTTTGTATAAAGCACGATGCACAGTACCAAAAGTACCCTTACCAATTTCACGAACATACTATAGAGAAAATTAAAATCATTTCCTTTCTATCGATTTAGTAACTGTCAATATGAGGTTAACAAAGTTCGGAATTTTGATCTGTAAATTACTTACTTTTAAATCTTTTGAATCAATAAAATCAAGTTGAGAATTATATGGAATTTTCTTTCTTTTCAATTTTGAAGAAGATATATGATCGAAACTTGCTGTCGAATCTGAATGAACCCTGCTTGAATTTTGCGATGATGATGTCTTATTTCTATATATTCGTTTTTTTTGATCATTTAATAATTGTTGATCTGTAAAAACAAGCGTTGTACTAGATAAATTTCCAGTTGATTGACTTTTTCTTATATTTAAGTGCTTCTTTTTGAATATTTGGATCATGACAATGTTTTTTTGTTGCTAAATGATTATGTAACTTTTCTTGTTCTAAAGATATTTTAGCAGTCGCTGAAGAAAAAATCTCATTAAAATTTTGAATATCTTAATTAGCAGTACGGGGAATATTATCACGTGCAAGAGCTGTTCGATGATGTTGTCTTGATATTTTCGTTCCCATCAATGATTCAATTCTATTCGAAATAATGTATAATAAATAGTAAAAACGGAAGAAAATCAAATGTTTTTTATTAATGAAAAGTTGAATATGTATGACGGATTTATATTATATACACGTTTTTATCGATGTAACGATCAAACTGGAATATTACTTTTATAAATATAAAAATGCATACAGGTAAAAAATTTCTTTCTTCATGATTTATTTTTATCTAGATTTATTTAGATAAATGTCTTATTGTAAAATCCATTCGAACTAATAAGTTATCATGTCCTACAGCTCAGTCCTTTTGATAATAAATTGAAATAAAGCGTTTTATAAATTCTGGAAAACGTTATTCATTTATTGCTTGTCGAATTTGAGATATTAATCTTATCTAAATTTAAATTATCAAAACAAAGAGTAAAAATAATATTTTCTCAAAAGAATTTTTTTAATTTGATATACAACATTACGAATTGTAAGTAAATGACATGCAGTTGTTTCTTTTGTAACAATTGTATTAAGATATGATCGTGTATAACTATCATCAATTAAATGATGAACTTTTTTATATTAAAGTATCACAACCAAGCGCGGAACATATAACAACATCAATTGCAAAACTATGATTTTTTTTAAAAATAATCAATAATAAAATTAATTTTTGCAATTCAATCAACAACAAACCCAACACCCATTAAATATTCTATTGAAAGAGTAACCATACACCAAAAATGATCTTTATATTCACCACCAACTGCATAACCGAGACTATTACGTTTGATTATTTCTATAGAAATAAATTTAACACGTTGACTGTCCCATGAGAAAAAAAGTAATACTTGTTGTACGCCCTTTTTTGATTATTCTTAATATCATGATATATCATTGATATTTTTCTGATTCGTCCTATATTTGAAGAATGGTCGATTAGTAACGTCTGACAAATTCTAGCTTAAGATATCCTATACTACAAGCAAGTCGTACGTGATGCGAAAACTTTTTACTCAAAAGTATCGTGCATCACATATGATGCACCGGACAGTCAACGTGTTAAAAATTCAATAAAAAAAAAGAGTTTATCTTTAGCACTTTGTTTATCTGGACGAGGATGTACTGCTACACATCGATCAAGCCATCATAATGATCTTATTTAATAAATAATAGATAGTAAAAAATAAAATTATATTTCATTAGTTTCTTAAATACAAACAATTTGTCTTTCTTTGGAATTCACAAGAGATTACTTACATATACTTTATTACTTATCATTATTAACCTTTATTTTTATTCGAAATCGATAATGTTACAAGTTAGATTATTCACTTTAATTCTTGTTGGCATCGTATTACAGCAGCGAACGAAATACCAACGAAAGAAAACAAGAGAAACAGAAATGGAGGAAAAGATTACCTTTTTTGGGAATCGAACCGGCAGCTTCTACTATTCGAGCGGACGTCGGAAGCCAGTCAGACTAGAAGGACGTAATCATTCTATATGCATCATCATTCTCTTTTTACTATACAAAACAAACAATAGAAAAAAAACCAAACGAATACAACGAATAAAATACTGACAATAATACCATCTGTCATATACGAAGATAAATTAAAAATCAAAAAAGTATGTATTATCGGTTACAGAGTCTACTCAAAATTATCTTAATTTCATTTGTTATTGTACCAATTATTATATTGATAAACTATGTATTTGTTCGACATGAAAAATGTCCATCATGTCCAACATCAACACAGCTAATTCAATCAATAATTTCTTCGAATGATTTATCAGATACAGAAGATGAAAAAACGGCTGTTGATGATACTTCTATATTATGTTTAGACTTGGCACATCGTATTGATAGTGAACGATATTATCCTCAATCACCAGTTATTTTTCCACCTACATTTAATGATACAAAAACTTTTCGTTTTCCCTATCGTTATTCTCATTGGAAATCATCATCTATTATTCCTCGTGCAATATCTCACTGTGAACATACATTAGTAATGCATTTATTAACGATAATTGATCGAATATGTCGTCATCATAAAATTACGTATTTTATGTCTGCAGGAACATTATTAGGTTCTATAAGACATCATGATATTATACCTTGGAATGATGATGTTGATATAATGGTACCATATGAACAACGCGAACTTTTTACTGATGCATTTAAACAAATAAAAAACACATTAATTGGATTAGTTTTACATGGTGGTAAAACGCCAGAGCAAGAGTATTATAAATTATTTTATATTAATACTCCAACTGCTGGAGAATTTGAATGGCATTTTCCATTTGTTGATATTTTCTTTTATGAACAAAATCAAACTCATCTAGGGCGTTCATTGAATTCAGATAAAATATTTCAAACAAGATATATTTTTCCATTAATTTTAAGACCACTTGGATACTTATGGCTACCTGCACCAAGAAAACCAAAACGTTTATTTCGATTTGATCCTTTTGATGAATGTAAAACCCATTACTGGGATCATAGAAATGAAAATGGACAAGAAGAAATAGCAGTTGAATGCGATCGTCTAAAGGATATTTATCCATTTGTTGAACCAAATAAGAAAAAGAGATGGATTGAAATTTTAAAAATTAATAATACTATTATTCATACAGTTGTTTTTACGTTATAAATTTGTTATTTTATTTTATCAACATAATGAATAACATACGTTTTTGTTTATTATAATATTCTTTCACATTCAATTAAATTTATTAATTAATAAAAAAAATGCCAGTGACGAATAATTACCAAGATATATATCACGTCGGTAGAGAAGAGAGGGATTGATGAACGCAAATTTCTACTCCATGCCCTTCAATACTCTTTTCAAAAAAAGCCGTCAGGTAACAACTGTTATTGTAGGCACAATACATCAAATTATAGTATGAGATTGTACAAAAATCTTGTTATTCAGGAGGATGCAATAGCATAATTATATAAAAAAAGCTTTCTGAAATCTTATAGACCGATTTTATCTTCTCCTTTTGATTGGAATCTGAATTTAAAAGCTAGACGATTAGATTAATAAATTCGTATGTTATATATAAAAGTAAATACCAGAGAAAATGCTTTATTTACACATTATATCACAAGCTGTTCTATTTCATAAATAGTTTTTAGTACTTAAAAATATCTGTGAACTATTTTACGAGTATTGATACATTAAAGAACGTCAAATACTAAGGAATGTTCAGCTTCAATAAAATACTGATCACGACTCATCAACACTAATAATATTATATCAATATTTATAAATATATCAAGGAATGTCATCAATGAGGAATAAACTGATACTATATATTCCAAAGACTATAAATTCTCTTGTTAACATTTACAAAATATGATGAGAGAATCATCGATAAGATGAAGTTATCTGAGTTTTATTAGAAGTTCCTAAGAATACATAGCAGCTATCAATCAATAATATCTATATTGTACAAAACTCAATGTTATTAGCATTAATTCTAGATATTTATCTGTCAATCAGCGCTCGTTCTAGTATAAAAACTCGACAAATTTTAATATTTCAAAAAATACTTCTTATAATAAGATTCCACAATTATTGATCGAGTTACATCGACTATTGACACTAAAATTATTTAACAGAGAGAATATTAACGACTATAAGAAAGACAGCTTAAATACAAGATATTTCAAACTTATAGGCAATAAAAAAGAAAACGAATTGGATTTTGACTCTATTTCTTATTTTCATAATGATATTACATATATTTGATGAAAGATTCTTACCAATAACATTTCACTTTGATCATGTGGAGATTGAAATTTAACATCATTTTCAGTTACTTGTGATAATTTAAGAAGCGATACCATTTGAAACAATAAAATAAATCAAAGTGACCCTTGAAAAAACAATGAAAGCAAAATACAAAAAATATTAATTATGAATTACTGGTCGATGCCCTAAATAATAAGTATTTCCAAGTCGGGCTACGCGATGTATGATTTCGATCAAATGTTAAACGGTTTACACGAGCTTTTGTTGTATTACATGTATGAGTTACTTCGAAATAAAGTGCACTAGACAACATTTTCAATAATGAATATTTTTTGGCAAAATGCGTATCATAAACTTTCGAAAGGTTTCTTAAAGATCAATTTTAAAAAAAGTAGTATATAGATGAATGGTTAAAACATTTCACTAATAATAACTCGATTTATAGAGGACGTCATCTATTAAAAAAATAAATCAATTGTATTTAATACTGCATATAGTGGATTTCGACTATAGCAGATAGTCAGTCTTTCATTGTAAGATGAAATCACTGAATACGTTATATAATCTCATTTATTTATCGATAAAATAACAAGAGAAGTTGAATAGATGACAACTATTGATTCAATAAATTTTTATCTATTCTAATTCTAATATGTGCATTCACTAAAGAACAATCTTTTTTTGTTACTTCAATAGAGAGTTTTTCAATGAAATCAATTCAACTATCAAAAGATCAAATATTACTCTTATTAACAAGAACGAAACATTCTGAACTCTTCTTCTTTTACTACACATATTATGTAAATATATATAATACCAAAAAATAATAAGACCTACCTTTTAATGATTTCATTAGATTTATTTTTCTTATCTGAATGAGAATCACTCACAACAATATTATAAATACTATTTATTTGATTTCATTATCATTTCTATCAACAAAATTTAATATAGATATTGATACATGATCTTATACCTTTATCAATAAATTGATGGCAAATATAACAAATTTATTTGATACTTTGTATAATAATAGAAGCAAATCAAGAATTCAATAGTTTAGCAATAATCTTATTGCAGATGAACAAGATCATAATTTCTATTCATCATTTATTTATATTCATATTCCAAATCAACATCTTTTAAAAACACTCATAAAATGCATAATCATCTTCGATTCTATTCTTTTCCTATGTTGATAAGTTAAAATTCTTTTTCTATAGATCAATAAAATGATAGAAACGTTTTAATCAGCGTTTATAACAAATAATCATCTCTCTTTTTCAAAAAATCATTTATGTATATTTCTTTGCTTTTCATTTTGTCTTTTTTAGATTTTAGTTACATATATTATCATCATATTCATTTCTCAATATTTGTGATTCTTATAATGCTTTAAACTATCACAAAAATAAAATAATGACAGATGAATGTTAATCATCAGAAGATCATATCTTGTTCTATTTCTATAAAATAAACTCTCATCTCATTGATCATAACTAAACCTATTAAACAATTGTTTCTTTTAAGTAAGAATTTTGCTGTTTCTGAATGTAAAGATAAAGAACTATTTTTTATTCTTCAATAACAATAAGTTTAAAAAAATAAGAAATAAGCTCCTTTTCTATGATCTATTATTAATAACATTAACTAAATCAGTTTCATATTTGATGATTTTATCTAAAATAGATTTTACTCTGTATAAGAATAATATTTTTCAAAAAATAAGAGTCACGTGAAAATTAAAAATATAACGGTATTGAAAAGAGCATTTAAATAATAGCTGAATTCCTTATTTAACTTCGAAGAATTATATATAATGAACAAATTCTTATAGACAAATGATTAAGTAAACAAAAATCTGTTGAAATAATGTTTTCTTTTATCTTTGTCAACTAAACAACTTCATGTAACTGATGATGTTTTAAACTTCGATCGAAAAAATATTACAATTTCAAATGTGATGAAAGAACAAAAGAAAAAAGTATTTGATGAGTATGAAAACTACAGACCTAGAAGAGTTTTTTTTCTGTAGAAAACGTTTACAAAAAAAACTTTTCAAAACATGTAAACACATAAACCACTCAAAATAAAAGGAATCTATTTTTGATTTTAAAAACAGACAAATGCTAACAGAAATAGTTTTATCCTCTTTCAGCTAAAAGAGAAATGTAGGAAGTGATGAAAAAAAGAGTAAAGACAAATCACTCATTGTTGTGCATACTTTATTTTTTCATTCATCACACAAAAAATAATGCGATTTATCACTGTCTTGTTTTTAATTATATCTCTTTCATTTGTAAAAGGTTTGTTAGATTATCTTTTTCCCTCCCACTCTATCATAATATAACTGAATTCTATAGGACAACCTACGCAACTACCTAATTATTCTTGTAATGAAAATGATGCTTCTATCCAATTTACATTGTCTTCATCATCTCATTCAGCTTGGAATTCAACATCAAATTGTTCTTTACAACAATGTAACACAAGCTTGAATGATAACAATAATTGTCGTTCTTCATCAACACCTTGTTATGACTATCGAACAATAAATAATATAAGTTATTGTGCACCTGGTATTTTATGTTCAATATTAGAAAGATGTGATAATATTACACAAACATGTTCATCAAATAATTCAGTGTGCGTTATTAATTCATGTTGTTCATCACAAGCAGTATGTTTACCATTGTTAGCAACACAAATGTGTAACACAGGTACTAATAAATACTATTTAAATGTTAGACTTCATCACACTCAACTAGAGAAATTCATTTTATTCATATTTGTAGATAAAGTATCATTCATTCATGTAAAATCTCTGTTGAGTGATACATTTGTTGTAGTGAAAACAAATGTAATAGATAGACTAATACAGATATGTGATGTCCATTGTTAATTAACAAGAGAAGCGAAAAAGAGGCGAAGAACTGAAGTATGTTGAACTGTTCAGTTTAGTTATTCAATGAAAGATAAACAGAAGTTCATATATGACTTAGTCGGCAGAATAAGGGATTTTAGTTTTATAATAATTCAATATTGTTTGTTTTTTGTGTTTGAGTTGAAATATTTTGTAGAACAAACTTTTGTGTTTACATTTGTTGCATTAAATAACAAGATAATATGAATGAATAGATTAAAGTATACAAATCGTTATTATAAATCATCTCAAGAAAATTTATATTTTGTTTGATTTCATATTTTTATTTATTTTTCCTTTTTCTGTTGCTGTTGTTGGTGTTCTAATAATATTCATTTATAGTTATCTTGAATATAGTTAAAGAGACATTGTTGATCATCGACAATAAACTTCTTTTAAAATAGGTGAATCGTGTGAAATATAGCTTATGAACAAATTATATGTGGAGGTGAATGAGTTTTGATAGAGAATCCGACATTATGATTTTGTGATCAATAACTATCTCATCTATCTTGTATGGATTGATGAGATGATCGAGTGAACTATACAATTAGACATTAAATACTATTTTTATTTTTGGATTAATCTTTCATATCATATTTAAAACATTTGTGAAGCTTTGTTTTTTTCTATGATAGTGTTCATTACATAAGATGTGAATAGGGAACTGACGAAAATATGTTGTTGTGTTAATAAATTCAAGTAGAACACTTGATTATATATGAAACATCAATGAGAATAGAGTTGAGAACAACTAAATAATAGAATTTCTGTAAATTAATGAAAAACTATCAATGATTTGACAGTAAATCGTCAGAAACTTCGAGATTAATCACTCATTTGTGTACTAGTTTATGTTTTATATCAGTTCTAACCATGGATGCTATATAGGACTTTTCATATCTATATATTGATCATAATAAAAATAAATGTTTTGAATAATTCACTACATTAATTATCATATTGAGAGAACTATAAAAGAGTTGTTGAAAAGTTCATATTTTTTATTCTATTGAATATTTTTCAAGCATAGCTTGTAAAATTGATAGAGGATCGAAAACATGTCAGTTAGTGTAATTAGCACAGTCATTAATTTGAGAGAAGCATCTTTTATATATTTGATTAAGATAAAAGATGAAGTAGAAAATATAAAAAACTGAAGGTGCCATAGTGGTATGTGAAAAGGATTTGTGTAATATATTTAACTACTATTCTCAGTCTACATAAATCTGAGGTGATACGAAACAGACATATCAAAGAGTGTCGTTTTTAGAATAATGAATGTCGAGTGTTTGATTATTTAATATTGTATTATCCAAATATATAGAATGTAACTTCTAGGATGGTTTTCTACTGGTAATATGACTAATGCACGAGCTTATCATACAGCATCTGTATTATCAAATGGAAAAGTATTAGTTACTGGTGGACTTGTTAATAGTATTTTAAATAATGCTGAATTGTACGATCGATCAACAGATACTTGGACAGCTACTGGTAGCATGACTAATGCACGATATTATCACACAGCATCTGTATTATCAAATGGAAAAGTATTAGTTACTGGTGGATGGAATGGCGGTCCTTTAAATAGTGCTGAACTGTATGATCCATCAACAGGTATTTGGACAACTACTGGTAACATGATTAATGCACGATATCTTCATACAGTATCTGTATTATCAAATGGAAAAGTATTAGTTACTGGTGGAATGGTAAATGGCAATAGTTATTTAAATAGTGCTGAAATGTATGATCCATCAACAAGTACTTGGGCAGTTACTGGTAGCATGAATAATGCACGACAAGGTCACACAGCATCTGTATTATCAAATGGAAAAGTATTAGTTACTGGTGGA